ATGTATATATATTATGTATATTATTTGTACTTGTGCATATGCATACACGTATGTATAAAAGCATATATGTATGTGTGTGTATGTGTGTACGTGTGTATGTATGTATGTATGTTTAGTTTAGTATGCGGTTTTACGGTGCTCGTAACTGCATATGGCCATATGAGCGCGCCAAACACAAGTTAGTTTTATTCGCAGTTCACTATACGGCTGGGTACGAGTCATTAGATCTTAAAACGTTAAAATATTTAAAATTCGGTGTAAATGTATATTTTCAATCTAAAACAACTTTCCTAAAAAACATAAAAAAATTTAATACTTCAATATCGCTCTTCAATTTCCCATCAAAAAGGCCTATGGCCTTCATAAAATCCAAAATTCTGTTGGGATCAACGACGGAAAAAATGTCTTGCAATTTTTTGCATTTGAAGTATTTCCTTCGGGTCTCTCTTAAGTCTAGACATTCGGTTAAAATGTGTCTAATGGTAAAATAATATGTGTCGCATCCGACACAGAACGGCTCCTCTCCTCCCTGAAGGAGGTACATGTATGTGTGTGTTAGAACCGGGGTACTTGTTTATACCGGAACCTCCCGAAAATAACCGAAACCTCCGAAACCACCCAATGTTATTTTGCTATGCTATCTATCGCTCTGTGGAACAAATATTGATTTGTAATACAATATTATCGTTTTTGGATTCTTCTTTTGTTTTAGTAAGTGTTTTACTGCACTTGCAACACGATAAGGTCAAACTAGTGCCGAAGATTAGAGGTGTTACAAGAGAGCAACAAACACAAAAAAGAAGGAGGCGGGAGGTAAGGACGATAGATGTTTGATAGGAAAGAAGGAGCAAAACACACCACAGCACCCACCAACCACCCACTTGGATACTTCTTGATCCTGAAAAAATGATTTAAACTATATAAAAAAACCAATACAGTAGCATTATATATAAGAGACAATATTTCACTTGGTTTGACTTATTTGTTTTTATTTCAAACACTATTTATTTGGCATGTACATAGGAAAAGTACATATCTAAAAATTGTCTTGGGGAATTATTGGTATATGTTTTAGTTTTCATTCTACGGCACTTAAAAAATCGGCTTATTGCATAACTGAAAAAAAGGGAAAAAATCGCTTTCTGACGCCATTTATCAAAAGCTACATGTGCAATCAAAAATTCCTCAAAACAGTTTCTAGAAACAGGAGTCGTTAACATTTTGTGAAAGTTACATTAAAATCGAATAAGATACAGCAAGAAAATGGGATAAAATGTGTGAAAATAGCATTTTAAGAAAACGGCCGATAAAGGTCAGAAAAGGCCCAAATAGTTCTCTTTCCAATTAGAAACCGTAAAAACATATTTTGAACTCTAACATGTCAACTTCTTGATAATATTAAGACAGTAGAAATAGAATGAACGTTTCCTACTAAAACTGAAACATATAAACTGTGTAAAACATGCCTTTTGAGAAAAAAGTGGCAATTATTTTCTTTTTAAAATTCTCTACCCTCTGCTCTAAAATCCCTTCAAACACCACTTTAGGGTATAGAAAATCTTACATACGTTTCTGGACTTTTGTGGAGGAAATATCCTGGAAATATATAATAAGTGATAACCCACGTTTTTTTATAATTTTACCCAAAAATATTTTAGGGGTCACTTCATGTTCACTTCTCCTTAGAATACTTCACAACATGCACAAGATAGAAATTAAGTAACGCATCATAACATTAAGTGAAAATCTATACTTGAATACTACTATAACACTAATTAAAATTCTAAGAAGTACAGGCTAGTAATTGCAACCTGAGCAGTCGCGCAGCAGTTGAAACAAAATAAAGAAAGGAGTTGAAAAAAGATTTCACAAACCATCATTTTCTCTTATAAAAAGAACCAAGAACCAACCGACAGAATATTTTATCCACAGAGCGATAGATAGCATAGCAAATAACATCATATCATATACATTTTGAGGGGGTTTCGGGAAGTTTCGGGTGGTTTTTGCGTGGTTTCGGGTGGTTTTGGGAGGTTTCGGTTGTTTTCGGGAGGTTCCGGTATAAACAAGTACCGAGAGCCGTGTGCCCGATGCGTAATCGAGTAAAAAATAACTTCGTGTCTTCTGGAGAGGCCAGAAGGCTTTCGCGATCCCAGTTTGGGTTTAATGTTTTGTAGTTTGTTTTTAGTTTGTTTTTTTCCAATTGCTCTCTCACAGACTGTATGTATGTATGTATGTATGTATGTATGTATGTATGTATGTATGTATGTATGT